TCCTCCCTCCCTTCACCCGATTCATTTATTTGGATTCTGGACTACGTGGCCCTTTAAGATATTGCTTATAATCAGCCAGACTCACCTCATCCTACATTTTCACATGCCTTATTTTTGCACTTTTGTCTTTCTACTCCCATCTTTCTCATCCCCTTTTATGTATCCCAGAAAAAGAGATTGCTCTGGGGCTTTACTGTGGTATGGCTGATAGCCTCTTGTTGTCAATAGCCCATATAACTGTATGCCTATAGAAGTAATGTCAGTAGTTCAGAAAATTAATGCTCTGCAGATCCTACTTCTGAAAACTTCTATGTCACTGTGTCAGTATCAGGGACAAAATCTAGCTCCAACAAATTACATTCCAGTGTCTTATTCAGTAAGATTCATTTTCCTGTAGATGACTTCCACCTTCCCAGTCCTCATCCTGGTAGGATATTCAGTGAAATATCAGGCAAGAGGACATAATGAATATCTAAAACCATTACAACACTCCTCATTTTATACTACATGACATAACCTCACCTTCAGTTTCTTATTCCCTGGGGCATCTGTTCTGAAGCAAATTCCTCAGCCTCGATATGCTCTATCTCCATGAGGGTCTCACATCTGTGATGACAGATGTTTAAAATAATTTCACTCACAATTTTGAAGCCTGAAATACATGTAAGGGTAGGGGTAGAATGTGGTTTAGTATGAAATCACTCCACTCACCTACCTCCCCTATTTATTCTAGATGAAGACTGCATTCTGGAAATCTCTTTTTTACTGGACAGCTCCGAAAGTGCTAAGGATTATAACCATGAACAGCAGAAAAAATTTGTACTGGAAACCGTAGACAGAATGAAAAGTCTGCAGCTTAGTTCTGGACGTACCCTTAGCTGGAGGATGGCCTTACTCCAGTACAGCAGCACTGTTTTCATAGAGCAAACTTTCCATGACTGGAAGGGTCCTGAAGCATTCAAATCCCACCTTGCTCCCATCACCTACATAGGTCATGGCACCTACACAACTTATGCTATAACTAACCTCACACAACTCTACATGACTGAAGGGACTCCGGGTAGTGTTAGAGTAGCTGTGCTGTTCACTGATGGAGTGGACCATCCGAGAAACCCAGATATTTTTGCAGCTATAGCTGATGCTAAACACCAAGGAATTGTATTTTTCACAATGGGAATGACCAGAGTGGCTGAGGAGGTCAGCAATGCTGCCAAGCTCCGGCTCCTGGCCAGTGTCCCAGCATCCAGGTTTGTTTTCAACCTTCAGGAGAAAGAAACTGTGGAAAAGATTGTCAAAGAAATGGTATGTATGAGAAAGAATTTTAAAGTGTTACAGGATCATATGTGTATGCTCTTACTTCCAATATTTTGGAATGCTTATGCTATTGAAGAAACCTGTACCTTTTAAATGTTAAAGTAGCCCACCTGTTAACAAGACCACTGTGCCAAAGTACAGGTTTCATTTCTGTCCCCAGCATTCAGATTTTGCCAGCCAAAATATTTGAAGTTGGAACCGAAATTAGGTTTCAGAAGACTTGCTGTGAAGTTATTTATATTTCTGTTTTTCCTCCCAATAAAGGTATTTTAAATCCCCTTTCTTAAAAAATATAAACAAAAAACAACAACAATTTTTGGCATCCCGGTGCTTTCTTCTGTAGGAAGTAGAAATGTGACGTTGCCTTTTGTACCAAAAATTGCAGCTCTTGCATAAGTGAAAATAAATTCATAGCCCTTAATAGAGATATGTCAATTTAGATAAAATCTGAACTTGGTGATAGCCGTCTTTAAATTTTCATGGAAAGCCTACCACATAATAAGGAGGAAATGTTTAAATTGAGCTTGAAGTTTTGCTTGGGTGCTTCTTTTCTGCATATGAACTTAATTTATAAAAAATATTCCCTGGCAAGCATAGAGAATACAGTCATCTTCTAGCTTGTAGATCTGGTGACACAAGCTGCAGATGAAGTCCTAATCTGAGCATTCACAGAAATATAAAATACCAGGAGACTCCTTTATCTGGAGACTTCTGCAGTGAAACTGACACATAAGTATCATACAGGCTCATACAGATCTTGAGCATGTACACAAGCTGGTCTTCCTGTTTGCCCTGCACTGCAGCAGTCTGCCACTCTGCAGAACTGTTGCATTGGTTTTCCTGCATATCACCCTTCCCTTCTTCTCTAGTATTACCATTGCTTTCTGTATGACAGCAACCACCTCGCGAGTGTCTAAACACCCTTTATTTTACCTGTTCGAAACAGGCCGTTACAAGTTCTTGCTTTTGAGAATATGGGTGCTGTCTGATTTAAATAATGGTTTTGGCATAATATATGTGTATACATGTGACTTCTAGAGATTTGCATTGTGTTGCTGCTCATCAACATGTTTATGTCCTCTCAAGAGACTACATCAGTTGTATGAAGTGGGGGGAATGCATTCCATGTGGGTGTTTCAGCTGTAGAGATCTAAAAACTAACAGCTAATTCAATGATAACTTTATACAATCACTGTTAAAGCCAAAGCTTTTCTAAGGTTCTCATTTTGTGTGTTTGCCTGATAGTATGCTTAGAAGAGCTTCTGATTTTCGCAAGTGTAGAGTGTGTATCATTTACTTCTACTAGAGAGCTGCTGCTATTCAGGACTTCGGAAACAATGTAGTTTCTGGGTTCCCATGTACCTGCCACAGGTACTATGTTGGCTTAAGTCTGTTCACCATTGTAGTTTTAGCAAATGACAATGGCTGGACAAGGGGAGTCAGTGATTTGTGCAGTCAACAATCTATAATAGGAATTTAATGCTTTTAATTAATTTCTAGGATGGAGAGATTGCTAGAATGTTTCTCAGAAATCTAAACTTAATTAATGTTAGTTAATATGTTAATTGTTTACTTTAATTAACTAGTTGCTGAAGCAATTTATTTTACAATCTTTTAGTGTCCTTTCTGTAGAGCTGGATTATGACTTTAAGTTTCTAATGTTGCTTTGAATATCTGTCTTTACAGAAAGATCTCTCTGAGGAAGAGGTAAGTTGTTTTGTTTGGTTTTTTTCCTGTACAGATCTACTGCTTAATACAGACATTTACAATTATATGGAAACATAATTCAGGAAAACTGATAGTTCAGGAAGTTGGTGAAATATTGAGTCTAATGGGATTGCCTTCAAGTAAAACATGCTTTTGCATTTACAGGACAGAGCTTTGATTTCCTACCCTAATGTCATTTACTTTCCCTCCTAATTTTCAAAGTTGAAAAAGAACAATGAGTGAGCATTCAGGTTAGCAATAATTTGCTGATATGTCTTGGCACATCATCCAACAGACTCAGTGGATAAGAAAACATGACACAGAGCTGAATGTGGTGCAGGTCTGGCCCATAATGCTCTTCCTAGCAGAGTTTTAAAAAAGGAAGAAACTCGAAAAATCTCAACCATTGCACTTTTCCAGTTTGTCCACACTGTGTCACCCTGCCTGCAGCCACTGGTAGGTCTAGCTGCCATTTTGGGATAAAAGATTAACTTGAAAGTTAATTTTCCTTTTAAAGATGTTAGTCCTACTTCAGGTACAGTTATCTCAGACAAAGACTGTTCTGATGAGCAGCTCAAAGAATCTGGTAAATATTCTGAGTGTTTGCAAAACTTAAAGCATTTTATTTTTTATTCATTTCCACTGACATGTTGATTTTTGTCAGAACAAATGCTGAAGTAGCAAGACATTCAGTGCTGTCATTGCAAAACAAATTGTTACTAATTGTGATATTCAAGTAAGAATGATATTTAAACCCTTCAAGACATCTAGTGGAAGTTTAATAAATAATAAAACCAAAACTAGAAACAACATTGCTTATTCCTCCTCCAAAAATTACCCCAGCATCTGTAATAATTCTGTATTCTGTAATGGTTTTAAAGTTTCAAAAAGATCCTACATACCATAATGATGTCTGAGACACATGACAGTAGAGATGGCAGAAGAAAAAGAACAATTATAAACTGTTACAATGAATTAATTGCATTAACTAGATAAAACTATACAGCCCCAACATGTTTTGTTTATAGATCAAGCTAGAGCTAAACTGTGATCTATCCTACATATAGTGAAGTGGAACAAGGATGTAAGATGTTCTCTTACCCCATTGTCTTGGCTATCTCTACAGTGACTAGTAGTCAAACCAAATCTATAGCCATAGACACAGCACACCAATAAATTAACCTTGTGAATAATTTGGAGGTAAAGCCATTACCAACATGACTGAAATTTCAAGACTAGGAATGATACGGATTTTTGGATGGCGTGTAGGAGACCACGTTCCTCATGAGTGGTAAACTGACAGTTGAAAGATTTCTGTAAAATATGTAAATATAACCATGTCATTACATACAGTAACTTAAAAGCAATGTTCATGTGTTTTCTATCCTTTCTATTAAAATGTGCTGATTTGGACTATTTTCATTCAAAGTGTCCCCAGGCTGCCACATGTAACTGTGAGAAGGGGGAAAGAGGCCTTCCTGGTCCTGCTGTAAGTAGCTGTCATTTTTCAAATAACTGATAAACATTGTAAATCAAAATTTATTTGATTATTGGATTCTTTTTTTAGGAAATTATTTGAACCCAAATCCTGAGACATCAAAAGTTGAATGTTCAATGCTAGTTACATTGCATAGAAGTGCTACACCAATAGGAAATCCACAGAGAGACCTGAGAATGTCATCAGATGCTCCTGAAAATAGCAGTGTGATATGCTGAGCTGAGCCTCTCCTTTTAGCCACAGCAGTTCAAAAGGCAGGAAGGAGCAACTTTCCTGTATGGAACAGTAATTCACCTGTTATTCACAATGAGTCAACCAGACCAGGTGGATCTAACTAGGCCCAAATCAAACATTAATATCTGAGAAGCTCTCGAAAAGCTCTCTTACAAGAGTGAGAGCAAGAGGCTAAAGCAAATAACCTAAATATAAAAAAAAAAAAAGTGTATATATTGTAAAACAAAATTAGTTGGCTAACGTATCAGAATTTTGTTACTTTTATTTCATTGTTTTCAGGGTAAAAAGGGTCGCACTGGTGATGATGGAGCTCCAGGCCTGAAAGGAACAAAGGTAATGTGATTTTTCAGGTTTAGGAGAAAGAGTTGGTACTTCATTAATATGAAAAGACTATCCTAATAGTGCCCATGTACTTTCCACCTGTGAGTGTTTTGAACATCACCTACACCCTTTTGCTATAGTAAAGACTAAGATTCTTTACAAATTAAAAGCTTATATATAATGTGTAAAATCATCAAACGGTAAAAAGAGGGAGCTGGTATGCTGCCTGTACTGCAATGAGGTATCTACTCAGTTAATCAGGACAATACAATCTTATACTTATTTCACTGATCTTGATGTTGGATTATTCATAGGGGGAGCCAGGTCTCAATGGAATTCCAGGACGAGATGGAATAGAGGTAAAAGAAGATTTTTTACCTTCTTCTCCCATGAGCAGTTAGTGTTCCTTCAAGGCAAAACACCTTTTTTAAAAAAGATTAGAATTCATTATGTTTTACCAGCTAATGATTCATTAACACTAGACAGGAAAACATTATCATTGCTTAAAGAAAAGAAATAATTCCTTCTTATAAGAGTGATCTAGAAAATGCTCTCTAATAATGCATAGTGGCTCCTAAAAAGTGTGAAAAGCTGTGATATAATAATCTAAGAACATTAATAATAATCTAAGAACATTACAGAAATGGACACTCTGCCTGCATCTTTTTGGGTCAGTTTAAATTTTTCATTTGGCAAATAAAGAATCCAGTGTGTCATGGCAATGAAAAGAATTGAAAAAATACATTTAAGGAAGTAACTGTAGGACTGTAGTAACTGTAGGACCAGCCACTTAGTGCTTAACTCTGAATTCATTCACACATGAATCACCCTATTTTTTATTTTCTTATCTATTCACTACATCCTTTTTAATTTTTCTTGCTTTCTTATGTGAGCATGTTCCTCACTAAGAAGGAAATATGAACTCTAGTTGATCTGTTTTTACATGATCAAAACCCCTGACTAAGATTGTTCACACATAAAACACATCTATCATGACTAGTAGCTGCAGTATTTAGAGTCATATTACTATGTTTATCAGAGATCATTTTCAGTACGTTAAAGGCTTCTAGACAGTAGAATGTTAGTGCAAATACTCACATGCTTACATTTGGGTTATATATCCTCACAACCTGCTTTGCTTTTTTTTTTATTTTCCCAGGGGAAATCTGGATATAAAGGAGAGAAGGTACTACTCTGTCCTGGGTTCAGCAGTAGCAGTCATGTTTCTCCTCCTTGGTAGCTGGTGTAGTGCAGTGTTTTGACTTTCAGCTGGGGAACAGAGCTGATAACAATGATGTTTTGGTTTGGCCAAGGACTTTGTGAGCCTCATGCTCTGCCAGGGGGGAGGGGAAGCCAGGAGGAAGCAGAGACAGGACACCTGACCCAAACTGACCAAAGAGCTATTCCATACCACAGCACGTCATGCCCGGGATGTAACTGGGAGTTACCCGGAAGGGCTGGGAGACTGCAGGGTTGGAGGAGGTATCGGTCAGTGCTTGGTTGGGCTTGGGGGGCGAGTTATCGGTCGGCTGGTGCTGAGGTGTTGTATTCTCTCCCTTGTTATTTCCTTTATCATTATTATCATTGGTGGTAGCAGTAGTGATCTGTGTTATACCTTAGTTACTAAACTGTTCTTATCTCAACCCGTGGGAGTTGCATTCTTTTCAATTCTCCTCTCCATTCCTCCAAGAGCAGGGGGAGGGCAAGAAAGGGGGGGGGAAGTGAGCGAACGAATTACCTGACTGGGTTTAAACCACGACATACTCTTAGTCAGAACTTCTGCTTACACACAGATATTTGATGTTATTACTATTTATTATGTATAGTGCTGTATTTGTTATAAATACCAGTAACGAACAATAACATCATCTTACCAGCTATTGCACAAACTCTAATTAAAGATGTGTTCCTTCCAAAATGAACTTACTGCACAAATGCTATAATATGTTCTGAACAGAAGATCATTTAGGTGTCCAACTAAAGCACCCAAAGAATAAGGATGATATGCTCAATATACGTCATAAATATTCCTGTTCCTTTCCAGGGTGAAAGAGGTGAATGTGGAATCCCAGGGATAAAAGGAGACAGAGTAAGTAGCCAAAAGGTTGTTACACCTTCAGGAAACACAAACACAGAAAAACGAGTTTCCTCAGTAACAACCATGGTGATCGATTTAAGACAGATATTAATTCCAAGGCTGAGGGAAATTAACATCTGACAGTTTAAGAAAAATAAAGTAAGCCAGGATACCATTTTCAGTAACTTTCTCAGCTCCTTCTATATTTTCATGTGATTCCTCTTAGGGCCCAAACCTAAGCCAGTGTATAACAGTGCTAAAACTCTGCTTGACTTTAACAGAGGCAGAAGACTTCAAGCAGTAAGCAAAGGAAATGAGAGGTGAAAGTGAAATCAAGGTTTCTAACACCAGTCTTCAAGATTTGGTGTGTAATTGCTGTGAATATTTTAAATGAAACAAATAAGTTTAATCCTGTATTACTGGTCCTTGATAATCAACTGTTTATTCTTACTCTGCATTCTGATTACCACATTCAATTTTAAAACTATTTATCCAACACTTGCTGGTTGCTGACCTTCTCTTGATTTTACTTTTTACTTTAATGTAAAGATATCTAAGTAAGATACTTTAGTAAAAAGTTCTCTAAAAGTGGTTTTGACCAAATCAAAATGTACATAAAGGTATCCCTTTTTCCACTTGCCTTTCAGGGTCCGGAAGGTCCAGTAGGCCCCAGAGGAGCAAGAGGGCTACAGGTAAAAAAAGAAAGGAAACTATAAATCAAACAATACCTGGTTCCCTGGGATTCAAAGGTATGAAATAGTACCATACCACAACCATCATAGAATCTTTGAGTCACTGAATTAAGGCATCCAAAATTAATCTTCTTAAACAGCAAAATTAAGAAGAATTTGGAGGAGCAGTCTAGACCAGTAAATCATCCTTATAATTCATTCAGTCTCAAACCCCACAGCAAATGCAGTTCCATAAAAACCAAAATTGCTCGTTTCCCATTTAGTGTCTTAACTATTTCTTTATCTCACAGAAGTATATGGGAACACTAGTATTTTTTCATCCCAGTACTCTTGGACTGAAGGCCCAAGCATTGGGATGTTTCGGTAAATCTTGACTATAGATTACCTTCAATTGCATTCAAATGAAGAGAGAGAAAATTTCTCTCCCCCAGTTACCAGACCCAGCTCCAAGTTAGCTGAGTAACTTAGTCTATATGTGCATCAGAATGGAAAGCTTCAGTTTTGAAATATTTGTAACTCATATTTTCATGCAGACTACATCAAATTAGAAATTGTTTTTCAAGCTGCCATGTTCTAAAAGCTTGAAAAAATCTCATTAAATGCCTTTTGTTTTAATAGGGTCCACAAGGACAGTCTGGAGACCAAGGGCCTGAAGGTCTGCAAGGATCGAAGGCAAGAACTGCATTATTTCTCCTTTCTTAATGTTAAAAGGTATTAATAGTATTAGTATAGCCTCACAACAATAATGCTTTTATCCTTGTACCCCATACCCTTCTTGTAGGGAATGCAGTTTAATGTGACATTGCTAGCAAATCATAAGAAAACCTTTCTTAGAACCTTGTAGAATACAAAGAGTATATGTATACCTTGAAAGTCAGGATACACAAAAAATGAACTTACAACCTGAGTTAAACTGATTTCCATAGACATGGAAATGTTAAACATAAATGTTATAAACAGAACTGTTTATTTTTTCATTCTCTGAAAAGGGTGAAAGAGGTCTCCCTGGGCCACCTGGCTTGCCTGGAGAGACTGGAATAGGACTGCCAGGCCCAAAGGTACAAGCATCTCTCACCTTCTATATTACATGTATTGTAAGGTAAGAATGAAAACCAAAACAGCTGAGAGACTATACTTGCTGGTGATGAGAAAATTTGAGCCTCCAAATGCTGTTTTTGTGGTACTGGGAAGGTATTTTGTATGTTGATCAAAACTTCTTGGGGGGAGGAGGGTGGAAAGTACATTTTAAGTATGTACTTCAAAGGACTTTTTACAGTAGTTCGTATGCTTGGCATAACTAAGCCAAGCAGTGTATGCCTGAGTAAAATGCATGCACAGTCTGAAACAAAAATTATCCTGTGAAAAATAGGCTTGTTGGTTTGGATGACTGGCATAAGGAGAAAAGCACTATGATAAAAATACTAACTCCTTGGAAATGGACAGTAAGTGATACATGACATACTAGGAATATGATGGGAATAATTAGCCATTTAGATTCAACATTGTCTTCTCTCAATGCAGAATTGAGGCTGTATCCTAATGCTGTAAAACTGCACCAGTTCAGTGTCTGTTGGGCCTTGTATGCTTTATGGCTGTGAGGACACTCAGATTTTCTCTGCCATTCCTGTATTCTCCTACATCAATTATTTCAAGCACAGAATGCCCGATGAGTTGTTATATGCTATGCACATAAAAATACCTAAATCAGTCATTTTCAAAACACATCTTTGTTGGAAGGGTGACACCGGTTTGACAGGAAGACCAGGCCCTGTTGGCCCACCCGGAGCTGGTGAGCCAGGACTTATGGTATGTCTATTTTTCATTTGGTGTGAGGGAAGCATGACAGAAAGGAAAAATTCTTAGTGCTTCTCTGTTAAAAAGGATATATGTGTGTTAAATAATACCATCTCTTCTTTCTTCCACTAGTTCTCGCTCCCATACGTTTTACATTGTCTGACTTTCATTTCCCTCAATAAACTGGGAACGTTTCCAGTTCCTTAACTTTTCTAATTATCTTAATCTCTGAAACAGCTAAGAAAAATACCACCTTATGCAAAACCACGTACATATTTAAACAAATCTGTTCCCAATAGATTCAAATCTGCATGTGGTAACTTCAAAGTTGACTGCTTTTCAGTATCATTAGAACATTCACATCAGCATGGTTTTGAGGGAGAGACTCCATTTCAACCACTGTAACATTAGAAACAGTCAAACCTAAACGTCCTTCTTGAAGATATTCAGATTGCATAGGTGGTCAAAGGTAACAATTTGACCAGTATTGCCTTCACAGAAATAACAGTGAGAGAAATTAAAATATATATATAAATATATATACTTTCAGACTCTATAGTAGTTTTGGCCCTGAAGTCTCTTCCTTCTTTTCCTTCCCTTCCTCCTCCTGGTGGCTGTAAGCTAAACCTCTTTGAGGTAATTCAGAAAACAATTACACCAATTTTAAGGTTGCTTTTTTTCCAAAGTGTCAGACAGCATCTTTTACTGAGCTGTTTACAATTCAGCTGACTCAAACTCATTTTTGGTTGAAAGACCTCTAGTGCAACCACAAGGGGGAAATTTTGTGCAGTTTTTTCATAAGGCAAGGAAAGGTAATAATGATTTCAAAAGAGGTGCTCCCAGGAAAAAGAGAAAGACAGTTTGGAAACTGAACTCATGCCTGATTGAAAATACACCTCTGGAGAGGACAGAGTTCTCGTTGAAGAGCCCACAGAACAGAGAATTACTAATAAGGCCAGTGGTGACAATCAAACCAGGCATAATTCTGAAGCTCTCTGCTAAAGACACAGAAGCATATTTATGCAGAGCCAAATCTACTGTCATTCTGTGGTGTGTGTGTGTAATCTCAAGGAATAAGCCAGAGGGAAAAATAAAGATGCGGGAACACACTGTGGAGCAGGCTCAATATGCACAGGTTTTGGACTTCCATTTAGTGAAAAGTTTTAGTTGCCTTATTTTCTCCTTGTGCTCCTATGAGGTCTGCTTTAAAAGAGAGAAAGTCATGTTACTATTCCCTTCACCAGTTATAGTCAGATTTCTCTACAGCTACCTCTTCTTCAGTACTGCTGTCTATGGTCTTTAATCTGGTTCTCCCTGTCTCTTATGGTTGTACTGGTAGTGTTAATAACAATTGGTAACAATTTGTGAACCAAACTAAAGTTTAGGGAGTGAAGATTTAGAAAGTATAAGCAATAGGAACTTCAGCTACGTAACCTGTGATTCATAAGTAACTAGAAAAGTAAAACTGTCTGCCTTGTTATTGCTGCAGGCCAGAATACTCATCATTTATTCGCTTTGAATATCGTATTACTGTATTATTTTTAACAAGTTATAACTACACTAACATTTAAATATGTACTTGAAACTGACAATGACATAGAACTT